TGTTGTCCCCTTCTCCTCTGCCTTCAATTTTTCCTACCATCAGGGTTTTTTCCAGTGAGTCGGCTCTCTGCATCAGGTGGCCAAAGTATTGGAGCTTCAACTTCAGCATCAGCACTTCCAGTGAATATTCAGGGTTGATTTCCTTTAGGCTTGGCTAGTTTGATCTTGCAGTCCAAGGGACTCTCAAGAGTCTTCTCCAGCATCACGGTTCAAAGGCATCAATTCTTCAGTGCTTAGCCTTTTTTATTGTCCAGGTCTCACACCCGTACATGACTACTGGAAAAACCATAGCTTTGACTATACAGACCTTTGTAGGCTAAGTAATATCTCTGCTTTTTAATACACTGTCTAGGTTTGTCATTGCTTTTCTTCCACAGAGCAAGCATCTGTTAATTTCATGGCTGCAGTCACTGTCCACGGTGATGAAACTCAAATTGGGAAATTGGAGGAAAACTTTAAAAATGGATTGATTACACAGTGTGGACAGTGTGTGTGTGTGGTGGGGGGGGGGCAGGGAACCATAGAGCAAGGAGCAGTACCCTAAAACCAGTAACCTTATGGAGTGACCACAGCCTTGGAGGAAGGAGAGGGAGAAAAGTGGAGCCAGCGAGGCAGCACGATGGAGAAGCCTGTCTGGCAGAGCTGTGACTTCTCATGAAGGACACGATGAGCTTGTGGACAATGCCTCAGGGAGGAAACCACAGGAATAAACAGCTGAAGTTCACTCTCTGTCCCTCTGAGTGTCTGCTAGTGCTCCTCATTGGGTGAATGAAGCTACAAGTCAAGGGAGCAGCCCATAAAGGGTAGTCCTGAGGGACACAGAGCAGAATGGAGAAGATTGGAGCAGGAATTTAGATGGCCAAATAGGAGACACTCGGTATAATTAGCAACTCACCCCTGTAAACAGGGGATTCCCCTGTAGCTCAGTCAGTAAAGAATCTGCCTGCAAAGCAGGAGACCCAGTTTCGATTCCTGGGTGGGAAAGATCCCCTGGAGAAAGAAATGGCACCTCACTCCAGTATTCTTGCCTGGAGAATCCCATGAACAGAGGAGCCTGGCAGGCTATAGTCCATGGGGTCGCAAGAGTCAGACATGACTTAGCAACTAAACCATCACCACTTGTGGACAGAGCTTATATTCCATTATTTGCCACAGGCCCCACCATTCTTTATTGTCCTCACACCAAAAATAAGTATCAGTTGCCAGCGATCATCATGTTGACATCATGGTGTTTCTTATAGGATAGAACCATTTCTCTATGTCTCTATCAAAAGTGAGCAAGGAAAGATAGAAGAGCAAATTCTTCAAGAAAACTTAGAATATACAAATATCTATCTATACATTTCTTATAGAGAAATATTGCTAATGTGTTTAATATGCAAACAAAATACACAATTGTCTTTTGTATATGTACATGCACACATACATACCTTGGCTGCTTTACTCATGAGGTCAGGTTTCCTTTTCTTGGTAGCACTCTGATTTTTGTATTGGGAAGTTATCTTCCCACCATTGAATATAGTCTTGCTCGAGAGGATGATTTTTGGTGACTTTCTCTAAATTGGGAGTCAGAGAAGTAAGCGCCTCCCTGCCCCCACCATGTAAGCAAGTACGTGACTTAACCATGGTCAGTGGTTTTCGCTCTTTAGGGACTTTGACTCCATGAGTGAGTTATGCAAAGGCAACAGCTAATTTATGTTGCTTGCAGCCAGGAACTCTGAATTTTTATCTAAACTCGAGTAGGAAAACCATTAACAAGTTGTCATTTAAACATGCCTTTAAAAAAATTATTCAGTCACTTTTGGCTGCGATGGGTCTTTGTTGCTGAGCACAAGCTTTCACTAGTTGCAGCAAGTGGGGGCTACTCTCTAGACGCAATGCACAGGGTTTTCCTTGTGATGGCTTCTCTCATTGTGGAGTATGGGCTGTAGGCTGTATGGGCTCTGTGGTGGCACACAGGTTTAGTTGCTCTGTGGCATGTAGGATTGAACCAGTGTCTGCTGCATTGCAAGCAGACTCTGAACCACTGGACCATCAAGGAAGCCCCTTTTTGACATTGGGGAAACTCTTCTAATTCAATAAGTTGTGAAGACACTTACAGAGGAATTGTTGCATGTGGAAAACCGCCCAAAGATGAGAGAGGTACCTGTTGCACATTCATTGTTTTGCCAAATTTGCAGTAAAAGCTGAAGACTGGGACTATGCCCCAGCCTACTTTAGGAGACCATATACACAGCCTAATGTTTTCCTCAGTTAAATAGAGGAAACTGTCACTGAATTGGAAAACAGACTTGCTGTTCAGTTGCTAAGTCATTTTCCACTCTTTGTGACTCCATAGACTGAAGCATACTAGGCTTCTCTGTCCTCCACTATCTCTTGGAGTTTGCTCAAATTCATGTCCATTGATTAGGTGATGCTATCTAATCGTCTCGTACTCTGCCTCATCCTAGAGAAAGCTGAGCACCAAAGAATTGATGCTTTTGAATTGTGGTGCTAGAGAAAACGCTTGAGAGTCCTTTGGACTCAAGGAGATCAAACCAGTCAATCCTAAAGGAAATTAACCCTAAATATTGATTGGGATAACTGATACTGAAACTCCAATACTTCGGCCACTTGATTTGAAGAGCTGACTCACTGGAAAGGCTAGATGCTGGGAAAGATTGAAGGCAAAAGAAAATAGATGCTTCTATTATAAAAACCAGGATGACTACTTCCCTAGGTGTTTCAGGAGATATCAAATTAAAAAAAAAAAGATATCCACCCTGTAACCTGAAACTCAGATGTAGGAACTGGACCTAGTTGAGACACTGGGTTTATTATTTTATTATTTATATTTATTGTGTTAAATCTTAAGTGTTTCAATGTTACTTTCAAATTTGTTGGTGTTGTTTAGTTGCTAAGTCATGTCCAACTCTTGTTACCCCATGGACTGTATCCTGCCAGGCTCCTTTGTTCAAGGGATTTCCCAGGCAAGAATACTGGATTGGGTTGCCATTTCCTGCTCCAGGGAAGCTTCTCAACCCAGATATAGGAGTATAAAACAAGTAAGACAGATTTTCTACTTTTGAGGAGTTCTGTTTAATGATGAGTCATTGGACATGAAAAGTGAAGGAGCAGAAGCAGAGAAACTTTTGGGTTTCGAGCTTGAGTGAATGGATGGCTGATTTGTCATGGAAATAGAATCTATAGGAGGAATAATCAGCTGAAAACGGAAAAGAGGTTGAGTTCAGTTTTGAGTCATGTGAGTTAGAGGTACTGTGGGATATCCACATAACCTTGACTTGAGAGTAATTGTAGCAGAGACCAGACTGCAGTAAGCTGAAGATTGAATATAACTTGAGAATGTAGTAGAGGGTGAATAGGGGCCAGGGCTTCACATTAAATTCAAACTTAAAGTTAATTAAAAATTGATTGAAACCAACAAGAATCTATTGTATTGCACAGGGGATTGTACCCAATGTTTTATAATAATTATCAAACAATAATTTTATATTAGATTATATATATGTATAACTGAATCACTTTGCACTATGCCTGAAACTAACACAACATTGTAAATCAACCATACTTCAATTAAAGAAAATCAATGGAAACAATTCTTCACCAGATATTCTGATTCAGTTGATCTGAGGAGGATGTGTATTTTTACAAACTCTCCAGCGCTACTGTGGTCAGTGCAGGTCTTCTGGAAAGCAAACACCAAGATGGAGTGAAAATGCAGTAAAATGGGAGATGAAAGTGAAATCGCTCAGTTTTGTCCGACTCTTTGTGACCCCATGGACTGTAGCCTACAGGCTGTCCGTCCATGGGATTTTCCAGGCAAGAATAATGGAGTGGGTTGCCATTTCCTTCTCCAGGAGATCTTCCCAACCCAGGGATTGAACCCGGGTCTTCTTCATTGTAGGCAGATGCTTTACCATCTGAGCCACCAGGGAAGTCAAAGTAGGAGATGGGGGAGGCACAAATACATGTGTCAGAGGAAATGGGAGGAAGGCAGGGAAGGCTGGAGGACTCAGCAGGGAGCAAGGCAAGTCTGAACCCAGAAAGGGAGGCGGAAGAGATGGCTGGGGCAAAGAGTCTCAGAGTACTATGATGGTAAGGAAGGGCTAGCCAGGTTGTTGGAATGTTTTGTATCTTTCAGGAACAGGCCTGCCACACTCAATTGCTGGGTACATAGAAGCAGTCTGTAGGAAGGCTGGCATTGGCAGGCCTGGGGCCTTTCGTTAATTAAGCTCTCTGTAGTTGAAGGTCCATGAGGCACATTTTCCTGGCTGCCACACATAACCTACTTTTTCGGGGGGTGGAGAGCCACATCTCATGTGAGGGTCTTTCTTCCTTTACCAGGGACAGAACCCAGGCCCCAAGCAGTGGAAGCATAGAGTCCTAACCACTGGACCACCAGGGAATTCCATATACCATACCATTGAAAGACAACGAAGTGAGGAAAAGAAGATAGAACAGACTGTAGTTAGAAGGGTATTTGGATGGTAGGCAAGATTTCCTGTTTTTCAAGCAGGAAAGACTTGAGTATGTTTGTAAGCCTAAAGGAGGGAATTTGCATAATGGGAGAAAAAGAAAAGAGGAAATGTAGGAGGGAAAAAGGGATGAGGAAGAAGTGAGAGAGGGAGGTTGAGAATGAAATATTTGTGAAAGAAGAAGACTCCAGAGAAGGCAGGAAAACGTGAGATAACAGGTTGTGGCTTTGGCTCTGAGTGGTGACATCTTATTTTCTGGGTTAGTGTCTGGATATGGATTAAGGCTGCACCTTGTAGGATATTCGAAGCATTTGCACTTGGTTATCTCAATTTCCATCACAAAACAGGAGGCAGATATCAGGGACATCAGTGGTGGAAGGTTTGGTTTGAACCGGAGGTATTCCATCCTCTGAGGCTGAAGCCAAAAGAGGTTAAGAATGGGCTCAAACAGAGTCTTATACAGATATGGGATCAAGTTATGGAACAGAAAGCCTGCTAGACTTGATCGATAAGTAGGAGGCAAAGTTATCTGCTAAAGGTATTATTTATTTGTCACTCTTCTCACATGACAAAATTCCTTATGTAAAACCAAAACAAATAATATTTAGTATATTAAAATTAATACTTCAGATATTTCCTTTATATTAAGGCAATTACCTATTACATAAATCTTTCACAGGCATGTATCTGTTTCTTTGTGTATGAACCAAAGTTCTAAAAGATTCTTTTGATATAATTTAGCATTTTTAAAACTGACATTGTATTGAGTTTATAATATTCTCAATCAGAAGAAAAAATTACTGGAAACCCACTGTCAGTGTAGTCTGTATATTTGTTACCTGATTTAACAAACAAAACCCACATTTGGATGATGTAATTTTATCTGGTTTTAAAGTAAATTCATTGCATGAGCAAATACTGGCTCCCTCTATCAAAAATTAGACATCAAAATATTTCATAATTGGAAGGGGCCTTTTAAGATCAGTGTCTTCTAACCTGGGGGCCTCAGACTCCCAGAATGAATACATAGAACTACAGTAGTTGATAATCTATTTTTACATTTCAAAGTACCTAGTGGAAATCCCACTTAACCCATATGAAGACTTTGAATTCTTTTACAATTACTTGGAATTATTTTAATTCAGAGGGGCTACTCTTCAGACTCTCCAATGGGTGGGCCTTTGAAATATTAAACCATGGATAATGCATTAATCATTATTTCATCACTGAGCTTTAAAAATCAGCAAAAGCTTCTAAAACACAGGGCTAGGGCAGAGGAAGATTATAGAAGTTAACCGATAGTGAAAACATTGGGAAAAACTGACTTAGTCTAACCCTGAAATTTGCAAATGAGATAACTATTAATAGGAGGAAGATTAATAATTTATCCAATATCACATCAAGGTTCATTAATAGCAGAGCCAGTATTAGGATTTGCTCAATTCATATTTTGTTTTAGTCACTAAGTCCTGTCTGACTCTTTTGCGACCCCGTGGACTGTGGCCTGCCAGGCTCCTCTGTCTATGGGATTTTCTAGGCAAGAATACTGGAGTGGGTTGAAGTTGAAAAAGTTTCCTAATATACTTTTTTCTTGGGTGTTAGGTCTCCTCAGTTTGTGTCATGTTTAGTGTTCTTAGCATTTGGAACCCAAATGATTCACATTTTGTTTTGGGGTTGTTTTTGGTTGAGTATGTACTAATATGAAACACAGCCCAAACGCTAAGATTTATTAATTTATATCCCCTCTATTGGACAACTTTCCAGTAAAATGGTTTAAATTTTTTTCCATAGAGGTCATTGAAAAACAAAAACATTTAAAAGAGCCTTCATAGCAAAGAGGTGCATTAAAGGCTAGTTACTTTTAAACTTCATTCTTCATAATTTTAGGGTAGTCTTCATTCATATCCACTCTACTTACAATAGCACTTTAAACAGAATTATACTGTTAGCGTACAATTCTACAAAAAGAAAACATTTTAGACTCTTCCACCATTTTAATCTTAGGTGTGTATAGGAATTGCATACATTCTCATCAAATAATTAAAACATATTCACAATTAACAAATAGAGACAAACTTTATACAAAAGTTCCACTACTACTATCATTTTTAAAAACATTTAACCCACCAATAAGAGAGGAGACAGCCCTGCCTTTTAAAAGCTAGGTAATTTGAATGGAGAATATAAGATATGATCATTAGAAGTACAAACAATCATTTTCCCTCTTAGGAAAAGTCTAAAAATTTCCTTCCATATATTTTTTGTTGTTCTTTACATTTCTTTAGACAACACAGTCATTTCCTCTCAAATGATTTTTTTAGGAAGAGTTGTCTATTGATGGACTAAAATGCCTTCATTGTAGCTGAGGCAGAACTGGGTTTTTAATATTTCTTACATCTCATAAATGTAGTCTTCTAAGATGCTGATTAGGCAGAGCTATCACTTTTCAAGTGCAAAATTTCAAGACGTATAAAAGTAATTTGGAATTTTTTAACAAAAGTACTAAGTAGCTTTGTGCATTCATTTTCTATGATACTTGATAACACAGGCCAATTAAAACCCAGACTTCACACTGATGTCAAATGAACGTAGCCGAATGACCAAAGCTGAGAGCTAGTCATTGTCATAGATGCAACCTGAAAGAAGAAAATAGAAATTTAAATTAGTTACACAAAATACATATCTTCTAAGTGTTCACCCATTGGAAATGTAAATGATTCATACTCTCCTAGTTTAGGATTAAGAAAAAGTAGAATTGGCTCATTTTATGAAAAAGCAGTTAAATGGAAGGCCATATATTTATTTAACATTCGTTGCTCAGTGTACTTTTCCAAACAAAGTTTCTGGACAAATCTATTCTCTATCAAAATGCGACTCAGGATTATTCAATCTGAAACTTTATTAAATGTATTTTTTGAAAGTAATTCTGGATGAGGAAGAAAATATTAAGCATCAGTAAGAATTGTACATTTAAAAGGAGACTAAAAGGAACATTACACTATGCTTCATTTCAGGTGAGATTAAATTTTTAGATCATAACTTAGAAGTGTTCAATGCTTAGATAATACTAATGAGTAATACGTGTTATGAAATATTTACCTATTCATTGTCCAAGCACAAATATTTTTTGTGGATAAAAGCAATTCTTATTAATATTCATGGTATAATGAAAAATGCACTAAGTATTTTTATTCTTTTATTTTCAAAGGAAATGAAGAGATTTTCTCTTGATTTCCAGTCATGTACAAAAATACGTTTTTTTCATTATACCAAGATATTTACATTTCCTAACATTTTCAGGTGATTCAAACTCTGATCAGATTGGAAGGCTCTTATTAATCCAGTAAGCTATTTCCAGTATCTGTAAGAACAGTAAATTCACCCTTCTTTCCTGTGGTGGGTGCCACATGAGACTTACCATCAGCAATATCATCATAAATCTCTCCATCACTGTAAAGTAGAAAATAAATTTTACTTTAATGACATAATCTCCTTAATATTAAAGTAACATTTAGGTTAAAAGTTTAATAACATTATTTCATGTGATACAAGACGTTTAAGGATGAGAAGTATTATGATGATGAGGATTATGTGTTATACATTTATAAATGGGAAGAAATTTCATATACATCTGCATCCCCTTTCATTGACTTAATCTAATCTTCTGTTTCATTCTTAAACACACGCACATGCACACACAGACACACAACTTATTCTATATCATAGACATACAAAATAGTGAAAACATGCCCCAAGAGCACAGACTATGCCTTATTTATCTTTCAATTGAACTATAAGCCTATCATACATCTGTCCTTGGTTAAGAAATGTTTGTTGAACTGAACAAACTGAAAAATCAAGGCAAAGTACTCTACTGGGGGGCCTAATCCAAAACTCTGATGAATTCTTTATGTTTGTTAATATCAGATGTATACTACTTTCATATGAACTTCAAGTGTTGAAGGAAACACAAAAATATCTGGTATCGGAAATGGGTATATCATTTTTACCATATTTCTAATTTGTAAATATTAATTAAAAATATATAAGTATTGGTTACAAAATAGGCAGCCAGGGTATTGTTCATAAAGTGATTCTTATGTTATATAATTTAAAAAATGTTTGTGGTTATAGGCAGCATCCATAATAATAGTTTGTGACTTTTACACATTTTAGGTTTTATCTGATCCTGAATCTTTGTGACACATTCTATTTCACACACACACTGAGTCCCTCCTATGTACCAGGAGATTTATAAGTAAGACGCAGCCTTTATTTCTAGAAGCTTATAAGCTAATGGAGGAGAGAATGACATGCAAGTAATTAAAACAGAATTATAAATATTAATAGAACCTTGAAATAGAGGACACGGTTTTGAAGTGCAGAAATGGGAGGGGAGTTTGTCACTTAGACCAGCCCTCCTCTTGGTTCCTGCACTACCTTCGTGCATTTAGAAGCAGCAGGCTTTTCAAATTGCTGCCAACCATGGCAGATGCCATGAGTTCCCTATGTCTTCTATTTGAATCCTTTTTCTGAGATTGAGGAAGGATTTGGCTAATGGAAATTTGATACAAACGCAGAGGACAGATGTTTTTTCTACCATTCATTCAATAAACATTTATTAACTATTCACTTCAATAGATGGTAAAGCAATAATTAGAGAGTATACTTTCTGAATTCTCTCTGAATCATCCTGTAATAATCACTGATGAAGATGTGGTCCCATTATCTGTCACACATTCTTTCCTTGAAATTTGTATCTTTCATAGAGTAAAGCCCATTGAAAAGTCCAATACCTACTACTGTGATTAATGCTCTGAAGAAAACAAAAGTGTCATGATTATTTTTCTCTTGATTCTTTACTAGTTTGCTGACAGAGCACTTAACCTTCAGTTGTCTCTTTCTGATGGTGTCAGGTTGTTTAAGGATACAATTTGTGAATCCTCTTTGATTTCTTAATTATGCCGAATTCTGTAAATCTCTGGACTGATATATGACCTACTGTGATAATGGAGTTCATTTCTTGCACTGGTTTACTTGGAACAGAATCTTATAACATTGTGGGGGGCAGGGAGGGAGAGGCGAGTGTGACTCTAATAGCACTAGTACCAGACCGTGACAATGTCCTATTCATAAAAATAGAAGAATCATTGACCTCTATCTTTTCTTTTTGGCATGCTTCCAAAAAAGGCAACTTAATATTCTATGATGCATGGCATGAGTAAAGAAAAGCCCTCAATTAGGAGCCAAACTATAAGCTGTTAACAGGTGACATTTGTACCTACTCTGCAGAAGCTATTGATCTCCGATCAATCCAATCAACTGCATTTTTGTTTTGTTTTGTTTTGGAATCTCAGCTCCCTGATCAGGGATCAAACCCATACACTCTGCATTGGAAGTTGAAATCTAAACCACTGGACTGCCAGGGAAGTCCCTCAACTACACTAATAGGTAGTGAAAAGTAAAGTATTAATGAAAATGCTAGCAATTTTGATCTGTATCCAATGTTTGCTATGCCAGTCTCCAATGAATATATAAAACCACCAATGGTATAATTATGAATGAGAAGGACTCCTCCTTTATATTTAAAAGAGTGACACTTAAAATTAACTTCATTATGGATATACCATATTGACATTAGTATATTGTTTTAAAATTTATTTATGATAGTTTAGTAGATTATGTTATTTAAATGATATTAGGAATCCTTCCTAAAGAAAAGAATATCATTCTTTTTGAAAGTATAGTAGGAGGAGAAAATAGGCTTACTTGTCCACCAAATAGCTCCGAAGGACATAACCATCTAAGAAAGAAAAAGAAAATATATTTTATTAACAATATAAACTTGAAAACTCTCTACTATTTTTAAAGAAGTTGAAATAGAATTTAATAATTAAAAGAATATCATATAATATATTGAATAATTATATCTATCTCCAAATATGACTCATTTTTATGTGTCCACTTTTCTCTTTTTTCTCTCTCTCCTGTTTTCTGCCATTTACAATATTTTTCCCTCCTTCTCCCTTAAATTAAAAACCAGTATTTTCTTTTCTAAGCTACTGTATGTTGTAGCTCAAGCTTCTTTCTCAGTTTTTAAGAATTTATTAAGCATAATTTCTCCAGTTACAAGAGTAGGTCAGAGGGGTGTGTGCTTAGTCATTCAGTCATGTCTGACTCTTTGCGACCCCACGAACTGTAGCCTGCCAGGCTCCTCTGTCCACGGGGATTCTCCATGCAAGAATACTGGAGTGGGTTGCATGCCCTCCTCTGGGTTGGATCTTCCCAACCCAGGAACCAAACTGGGGTCTCCTGCATTGCAGGCGGATTCTTTTATCAGCTGATCCACAAGGGAAGCCCAGGTCATGGGTAGGGATTTTAAATATCTCCAGGTCTAAGACTTAACTTTTCAATTTTTTTTACACTGAACAGTCAGAATTGTATTCCACTCCCCTTTCAGATCTGCAATCTAGTGGTTACTTGGGGGAGTGTGCATTCTAAAAGGTTTCAAAACAGCTCTTTTATAATCAGTGTGAATGATCTTTCACTATTACTTTTGCCACTTGACAGAATGTCAGTGTTTGCATTTTCATCTTTCATGGAACAAATAATTATTAGAAGAACAGATATCAGAGATTCCAGTGATTCCTCTGTTAAATAGAAAATAGACATTTTATACAGAAAAGCAAACAACTTTTTTCCACTTTATTTTTGCCCCTCTTGAGCAAAATATTCCTAAGAAAAAATATGGACTATTTTTCACAAGAAAATGTTTGCTGACATCTAATTAATTTACTAACCTTTATAGCTATTAGTTTTATTCTAGCACCTAGTCACTATTGCATGCTTGACATTAGTACCATTTATAGGTTTACCAATCAACATCTAAATAATTTCTTTCACTAAGTCAATTTATAGGTTTTGCTACACCTCAGATCTGGTTTTGGGTTCTAAACCAGAGTAAACGTGTAAAAAATGACAAAGCAGGAAGTTCATAAATAAAAATTAATACCAATGCTAATAGACTTACTTAAACATATTAATATATTGCCACTGACTTAGCATGCAAAAATTTTAAGTTAGAATCATATAACTGAAATTGTGCATTAAAATTTAAGGAAACAAACTTTCCCTTGAAATATTCCAGGGTAAAAATACGCCACCAAATATTCTGTCAAGAGATTCACCACTTTTTGATAAAAATTGTTTACAAGAGTCATATTTGGAAAATAAAGAATCAAAGTTATCTTTGAATTCGTGTAGCATAGAGGTACTGAAGCATGTGTCAAAATGATAAAGACAGACTAAAGTAATATTTTTTTTGGAATATGAAAAAATTATACCATGTTATATCTTCCATTTTACTTCAATTAAAGCAGATGTGGAAAAAGTTAATATAAAGGTCATCTAAAATTAATATCTATGACCCTTGAGTTGCCTTTGATTCCACAGTTCTTTCATTTCACATTAACAAACTTAAAAAAATTTAAGGTTAGACATCACCCATTTAGCATGATTTTTAAAGGGGGATAAGCTCATCTTTAATAAATTCAATTCTCTGTGTATCTCTCAAAAGAGAAACTTTGTGCAAATAACAGACTTTTAGAACAAACTGTAGATTTTGTATCAGGATTTCAATAGTGGAAGTCTGTCTTTACCTGTACCTGTGTTTAGGGCTAACATAAATTGTGAACCATTTCTACAGACAGTAAGAGTCAAAAACTTTATTTTTTCGTTAGTTAAAATTGATGGCTATGTTTTCATTTTTAATTTTCTCTTAAAACGAATTGGAAAATAAAACAACACAAGTTAAGTGTTCCATGATATTCATGTTTAAATTAATAATTTAAAAATAACGACTGAAGCCTTCAATGATGAAGTCAATCTCTTTGTTAGTTGTCTGGACTTTGTAAAGTATCTGAACTAAAATTAGAAAGTAGACAATTAGGGAAATATATAAGAAGTAAGAAAATATTGCCATAGATTGGAATTATTCTGGCATCAAATATATTTGTTGTCATTCGTAAAAAATATTTAGAAAGTCAAAAGAAACAAAATCCAAAATAAAGAATATAATCCTCATTTTGGAAATTAAAGGTTTTTATTTTCCTGTGCTAGAGGAGTCTGGCAGGCTACAGTCCATGGGGATCCAAGAGTCGGACATGACTTAGCGACTACAGCACCACCACCATAGGACATCTATTTTTTTAAAACTCAATTATGCTAAAATTGTGTTGACATGGAAAAAACACTATCTGTAATTAGGTGTAAAACAGTCCTTTCAGTGATCAAAGTTAATAACTCACAATACAGTTTAATTACCTAATATCACAAAATTAATTATAAAAAATATATTTTCTTAGCTTCTCAAACCTCTATTACATTTCCTCCTATATCTTGTCTGTTCGAAAGTTCTAACCACTTTTTGTTTTGAGGAAAGCTCTAACGTTGTTGCTGTCTTTGTAGTTGTGAGATACATAAACATCAATGATTGGGAACATTATTTGAGAGCAAACATATTAAGGGTTTGGAGCAGGGTTGGTCCTGCGCTGCTCTATTTTAGTTCCCTGAAATGATGTGGTCATTTAGGGCTCATTAGCTATAAAATCACTATTAAATAGCATTTCTACAGGGTGAACAACTTTTAATACAGCATAGGTTTTGCTGTCTAGTACCTTTAGAAATCTCTGCTAAAACTTCATTCTATTAGAAGCATGATTCATGACAGTGTCAAAACAAGTGTCTTACCATGAATTTTTATACAATCTCTCTATTATAGTTCCTAGAAACAAATTTTTGTTTGCAGTAGAAAATGTTCTCTTTGCTCACATGTTCCATGTACAACCATCATAGGGAACATTAATGAAAAATACAAACAATTGAAATAGAAAATCTCACCGTAGTTCTAAAACATGCAGAGGACCTACTGTGTTTAGTTAGCTCTATAATATGATGGACACTAGAACACCAGGGAGTCTCATATATCATACGAAATTATTATTTGGAAACTTCACATTCACAGAACAGAACATAGAACACAGTGGCTTGAAACAAATGCTTTGAAATATGTGGTGGGGTAGAGCTAGTTAAGAAAGTCACACCCACCCCCTATACTTGCCAGTTAATTTCTTCCCCTAACGTTACTTGCTACAGGGCAGATGTGTCCTAGAACTAATGACTGACCTTTCTGAAGGGTGTTGTGAATATAAAATTACCAAGGATATACAAGGATATACAAAGCCATCTTTGGAATAAAATCAAAGAGATCGTTCTCATATTTTCAAATTATTTACTCAGTAAAAATGAGGAATTATATTATTTCCTTATCATTTCATTTGCTGTAAGCAAGCCCAGAAATAAAGTTAAATTTACTCAACTTGGCCTCAGGAAGTTTAAAAACAATAAAATCACATTGCATACTTTTACCCAGGCAAGTGAAACAATGTCCAACTTCAAGAGAAAATGCTCATAGTGGAATAGAAGTTAAAAATGAAATGCAGTGTATAATACTAAATATAAATTATTATCCTAGTGTATTAGAAATGTTCTCTTTCCTCTCTTTTTCTCTCCCTACTTAGTTTTAGGGCTTCAAATCAGATGAATTATTAAATTTCTGAATAAAAATTTTTTTCTTCAGTTAGCATGTGTTGTTTTAAAATGGAAAACAAAATTACCTAAGCAAAGAAATGATCAATTGGATTGGAGACATTCAAAGTACCTTTAAAATTCCCCTTCCTTTGATGCCCAAAGGAAATGGAGTACATTTTGACCACAAATAACTCAGCTCATGTCTCATTCCACACATTTTTGTAGGAAAATTTTCTTCAGGAGGTGGGAAACTCATAGCTTATGAGACATTGAGTTGAGGAAAATGCACAAATATTATCAAGAAATTATAAACATTTGGGAGTGTGGCATCAAATATATATTTAAGATCTCAATGCCTCTACAATATGCTCTTCTACAAGTCTGTGGGTGAGACTGTTTCAAATGTGTTAATGCCAGTAAAAGTGACTTGTGCTCTGTTCAATAGTGAGAAGGGATTACTGTTCATGCTTTAGCCTTGGATTTCTATCATTAGAAACTGTGTTTAAGTAAACTATGGTTTTCTCTCTCTCTCTCTCTTTTTTTTTTTTTGCCAGATTAAAAAAGAATAGAAAGTAAGGAAAATGTTAGGATCGCTGTGGTGCTGGATTGCAAATGCTATTACTGCTAATTACATGTAGAAAAAGGAACTGAAAGATTTAGAGTTTCTCAAATGATACACAACAAGTGAACTGAATCACTAAGGCTAAGACAGAGAACTTGTGTCTTAAAACAAGTTAAACTGTTCAACAGACTTCTTCCCACAAATGTCAGCATGTCAGAGTTTCATCTGGTTAAACAATTGCAGCCTCCAAATTCTTATACTCAATTCAGCAAGTCCCAAACAAGGTACCAGGCAGTGCAGAATGTGTTGGCAATACAATGTTAGCATTTCATTGAAGTTACTCGCAAACTCAGAGTCTAGTAAGAGTAATATGTTGGCAAAGCAATAAGGACGATTGCAGCGGTAATAATAGTGGTATGGTGGAGCAAGGGAGAGGTTAGTTGTGTTAGGAAGTCTAGGGAGGAGGGAGTGAGTGTGCTTCCAATTTTAGATGGCAACTGGTTTGTTTTTAATATATAATTTCTGGGCATTTTAAATAGAATAAAATAGTATAGAAGGATGAAATAGCATAATTTACTCAGGCAATGATAAGTCGGTAGTCTGTATTTCTGAAGTATCAGCTGCAGATGGGAAATAGTTGATGAGGGGAAGGCTAGATCATAAAGGATTTTATATACTAACCGTAAAGACTTCATGTTTTTAAAAATAATATTTGGGTAACAGTGTGGTGAGTTGACTGTCTGAGAGTAACGGTAAGGGAATCATATCTTTTGAAAGGTTATTGGAATAATCCAGATGAGGGAGGGTTAAATCCACACAGCAACTGTCCCAAATCCTATAGTAATATTTGAGGAATGGATCAGACATTAAGAAAATTAAAAACGTCAAGGATTCAGTTCAGGGAAAGAATAAGGAGCAATTTTGGAAAAATTAAGAGAGATAAGAGATTTGGGAAAATAAAAGGGAAATGAAATAAATCTGCTCATTGAATTGTGGAATAATGCAATTGAAGATGCTTTTGATGGCCCTCCCACGTACTTTCACCCTCATGATTTCAGGGCTTTGTGGTTTGACTTGCAACTGATAGTAATTGCATTTTCTATTTATTTACTGATGGCTTTTTTTTTTTTTCTGGCTTCCAGAACCCTCGTTGTCTGCTTTTTCAGTGTCCTGAATGACTGGCCACATGCCCAGGGGTAGGCTTCAATTCCTGATGGACAGGAGTTGATGTATAAATACCCCTGTTTTTTTCCCACTGGATGGGATAACACTGCTGTTTGAGTCTGCCAATGAAGAAATAAGAGATGTGGGTTCAATCCCTAGGCCAGGAAGATCCCCTGGCAACCCACTCCAGTATTCTTGCTGGGAGAATCTCATGGACAGAGGAACCCGGCAGGCTACAGTCTATAGGGTCACAAAGAGTTGGACACGGCTGAAACAATTGAGCATGCAAGCTCCACCTACCCAAGTGATACCTCTTTTTGATAACAAAGTTTTATTAGCTGCCTTCTCTTCCCAGTCTACTCTGCCACTTGCCCACGGGAGTTTCCCAGACTCACCTTCCAACTGGGGAGGCCAAACTAAGACAAAGTCCAGGCCAAAGGAAGTTTTTAAATAAACAACAATTAGCATACAAGATATAATAAGATAATTTTCATTCTGTTTGAGATGAGCCCCAAACCACCAAAGAATTGAGTTAGTTATTCGTGAGCTTGGGAACTGTAAACTGCATTGGTCCTACACCAGGGGAAAAAAAAAGATAAAAGTAACAAGGAACACTTGATTTTATCATGTAATGTTTTCACTTCTCATTTTTAACAGATGATAAAGTCTTAAGAGGATGGGAGCCCTCCACTATTCATACTAGGATTTAGAATGATTGATGTCTAAATAGAAAATGACAGCAGATTACAAATTATCCCTGAATGGCTGCTTAAGGTCTGTTGATTCCTAGATAGGAGTCTGCTCCGAATTTCAATTTTTGATGCTGAATCTACATCTGCCCATCTGTATCTATACACGTTTGTTGCTGAGGTTATTTACATCCTGTTACTCAGAGTCTGTTCTGTGGACTAACAGCATGAATTACGTGAGACCTTGGGAAAACTCCTCACCTCAGATCTACTAAATTAAAATCTACATTTTTAACAAGATCTCTGTGAAGTGTATGTACTTTTAAGTAGAGGAGCACTGCTCTAGATGGGGTCTGTTTTTAAGGACAGGAATCTCCAGACAGCAGGTCAAAATAAGCCTGAAATTTGTCCTCTGGAGAAAGGTCCATATAACAAGCATTAGAACAATTGCCTGTTGTGAAAAATGTGACATAATTGGAAAAGCAGAGGGAAAGAAACTTAGGCCCATCACCCTGCGCATGCGTGCATGCTCATTCGCTTCAGTCTTGTCCAACTTGCTGTGACCCTATAAAGTGTAGCCTGCCAGGCTCCTCGGTCCATGGGATTCTCCAAGCAAGAACACTGCAGTGGGTTGCCATGCCCTCCTCCAGGAGATCTTTCTGACCCAAGGATTGAACCAGTGTCTCTGACGTCTCCTGCATTGGCAAGTGGGTCCTTCACCTCTAGCGTCACCTGGAAAGCAACCCCCTCCATTGCCCTCATCAGCCATTATTAACATTTTAGTTTTATTTACATATTTTTTAAACATGGCTGTAAATAAATCCCATCCTTTATTAAGCAGGCTTCTTGTTTCTGTTACTAATGGATCATGAGCATTTCCTCATGTTATCATAATCATCCTGGAAAATATTCAATTTGGTATATTCATCATAACTTTAATAATTTAAAAATCTTGAACATTAAAAAAAATTTTGGCAGCCCTTTAAAGCATGCAGTTATCTGCATTTAAGACTATTCCTTAGGGTGTGTGTTCACAAATTCTGGATTGAATGGGGGTATTCTTTGTCTCCTGCAGCTATGTCTTCAAATTATCTCCGTGACCTTCTAGTCTAAACACTACATACCCCTGCCTGTTATCCTTTGTACCCACATTCCATTTTTCCCTTTTACAGCCAACCACACCTTGTCCATAAAAACTTTAGATCCATTTTCCCCACCCTTGAGTCACTGTGTTTTATTCTTAAAAGATCCATTTTCGTTCCTGTCCCTGAGTCACCTTCCTGTCATTAAAATTGAACTCAGAGTTCGTGTTTTCCGTGCAGACTTACTGGGCTGATATGGGACAGCCAGGCTGGCTATTCAGTTTTAAATATAGGACAACAGAATTTTGATTTACTCTTCCCCGGACTTTAAATGAAATAAGCTACCTTTTAAAATTGGACAAAAACATTTCCATCTGTCAGCTTAAGTAGCTGTCAGAGAGGAAAGGATTGTCTTGTATTTATTTGGAAGAGTAGGTTATATTAAATGTGGCAAATAGAAAATGAAAACAAGTGAATTTGCAAGGTAGGAAAACTGGAAATGTTAGGTGTGACATATGAGATATAATTTTAAAACCAGACCAGAGCAAGAATCACTCAATTCTTTAGCACAGTGGTTCTCACTTTAGTGTACATAGGAACAAACTAGGAAAGACTTACAATCTTTGACCCCCAGAGCTCATGACTCAGCAAGTCAAATGTGGGGCCAGGGTATTGCAACTGTGATAATCGCATCAGAGTTTTCTGATGCTGGGGGTCTGTGGGACCATATTTCCAGAAACACTAATTTGGCATTATCTTTTCAACTCAGTGCCAAATATAGCAGGTGGGAAATGAAAAAAATTAAAATGAAATACATTGGTTCCAGCCCAGCAAGATCTCCAGTTTCTTAATGTGAATTTTCCAGAATTTACAAAGCATGGAATTTACAAAGCATGGATCAAAAAGAGTTTGGAGTGATCACTAAAACTTGTTTAGCTGTTAAATGCTGGAGCATCATATTTCTGAAGAGTAAGTAGTGACTTACATTTTCCTTCTTCATTCCTGCAGAGAACTTTTGTATCGTCTGTGTTTTGTATAACTTCCAGAGATTCTCCAGGCTTTATCTGTAGATCTCTGTTGCCCCACTTTTTAGAAGATAAGGATGGTGCAACTTTGGTGGAATAGAGGACTCTAATTTCACCATCATACTGGAAAAATAAGGGAAAACATTTATTATTGATTGATGTGTATTATTAAAATAATTCACTTATTGACAGACTTATTAAAAAATTTTGTTAAAAATGACATCAAAATTTCAGATTTTGTTAAAAAACTAGTTCCTTGTTATCGTTTCAAAAGATAACATAAGAAGATTAAAGAAAACTTTTTTGGAGAAAAATCACTTGCAACCTCACCAACCTAATATAATAATTATTTTTAAAATAAAAAAATTAAGATGTACGTGTGTTTATTTGTCACACTCATTTTCTGCAAAATGATTACCATCAAAACTTCAATTCTGTTGGTTCGATCACTTTACATAATTACCATTGCTTCTTTGTAGTGAGAACATTTAAGATGTACTCTCTTAGGAATTTTCAAGTATGTAATACCGTATTGCTAACTATAATCACCATGCTGTAATTAGATCCCTAAACTTACTCATCTTATAACTGAATATTTGTACCCTTTGACAAACAGCTCCCCCTGCTCTCCACTTCTGGTAACCACCACGTTACTCTTGGTTCCTCTGGGTTTGGTTTTTCTAGATTCTACATATAAATGATATCATATAGTATTTGTCTCTGCCTCTTGTCTGACAGTTTACTTAGCATAACGCTCTTGAGGTCCATCCACATTGTCACAAATGGCAGGATTTCCTTGTTTTTCATGATTGAATAATATTTCATATATATATACCACATCATTTTTAATCATTCTATTTTTAGCTTACCTTCTTATTGAGTTTCAAAGGACAGCTAAATTTAGATGATTACCACAGTATGTATATTGGGCATGTACAAGAGTTTGCTTAATTTCTTATAGGAATAAATCTAAATCTAAAACAAAGTTTGTAGAAAATAAAGGTGTTGTGATGGATAACTGTGATATTGATAGTTATACAGATAATCATCAGTTTTTTTATTCGGGCTTTGAACTTTGTATGATATTTAAATGTAACATACTTTAAATTTTTTCCTGAAGTCTTTTTCTTCTTTTTCTTGCTTTTTTAGCTTCTTAGGGTCTTTTTCTTCGACTTTGGTCTTGGCTCCTTGACTAGGATGGCAGAACACACATAAAACAACATTTAGTTTCAAAACATAAAAAGAATAGTGTATAATGGAGAATTCATAACATTACATTTTTGTTAAATTTCATTTTCAATTAATTATTTGTCTTAGAATCTAGTACATTCACTGTGATAAATGATGACTTTTCTTAATGTAGAATATTCTTCAAGAGAGTACAGGCTGAGTTAAAATGGAAGTTTGAGATTATCATGTTGAACAATATAAAATGACCAAAGTGTAGTTTAAACATTGCTACATATCAGCAAGTTCAAATGACCCAACCTATTCTTGAATCCTCTGTATTTTTCAACCCTTCCTAGGTAATCAAGTGGTTTGACTAATGTCATAGAAAAAGCTTTTTAAAAAAGGAACATTAAAAAAAAAATTTGACCATGCCATGCAGCTTGCAGGATCTCAGTTCCCCGACCATGGATTGAACCCATGCCCCAGCACTGAAGGTGCTAAATCCTAACCACTAGACCATGAGGGAAATCCCTGCCAAAGAACACTTTTGGAAAGACTGATTTTCATGGCTTAAAAATTTATCTATATATTAATTTTTTTATATCTACTTAAAATGAAGCCGAGGTTGAATCTTATGATACCAACTAAAGTCAATTACTATAAGAGAAGTGAACTAGTCTAAGGTAGTGATTCTCCAGCCCGGTCACAAATAGGATCACCTGGGAAGTTTTTTAAAGATACCACTGCCCTTGTCTAAATCCTAGAAATTTTAATTACATTAAATTAATTAACAATTCTAATTAATTAGGTTGAGTGAGGTCCAGATACCGACACACATATTTTAAAAGCCCCCAGGTGATTTAATCTGAAATCAAGGTTGTGAACCATTCCCCAGGATTAAATATGGTTGTTAGGAAAAGGCTGTGAATCTCTGTAGGAAGGAGTTTTAAAAAGCAGAATATTTGTGAATAATGACAGTTTTTAAACACTGATTAATTTTTATTTTGATTACCTAAGATAAAGCTTTGTTTGTAACTGCGCTATTTAAAATGTTTGAGTCCTAATTTTTCACTCTTAGAATTGAGTTTATTCACTGGGAAGTGAATTAGGATGCACTGTCCTGCCCCAAGTTCTGCACTGTCCCTCAGCGCCTTCTTCTGCAAGCTTCCCTGGTCGCTCAGTAGTAAAACATCTGCCTGCTAATGCAGGAGACACGGATTCCACCCTTGGGTTGGAAAGATCCTTGGAGGAGGAAATGGCAACCCATTCCAGTTTTCTTGCCTGGGAGATTCCATGGACAGAGGAACCTGGTGGGCTACAGTCCATAGGGTAGGAAAGAGTCGGACCCAACTGAGCAACTAAACGATACAATCTTCTGTCTGCTGGTGTCCTGGGCAGTGATGGAATCTCTGGCCCAGATTAGCACACTGGAGCAATCAGAACACACGTGAATGTTAAAAAGGCCCCACAAGTTCTCTTGAAAGATAATTTATTGAAATTTATTTATTTATTTATTTTTTCCATTTATTTTTATTAGTTGGAGGCTAATTACTTTACATCATTACAGTAGTTTTTGTCATACATTGAAATGAATTAGCCATGGATTTACATGTATTCCCCATCCCGGTCCCCCCTCCCACCTCCCTCTCCACCCGATCCCTCTGGGTCTTCCCAGTGCACCAGGCCCGAGCACTTGTCTCATGCACCCAAGCTGGGCTGGTGAAATTTATTTTTAAAAATGCAATGCTATGTTAGAGAATACACAATTGTCTTAAACTCTGAAAACAAGTAATGGGAAAGAAAATAGTTCATATTGCATAATGTTGAATCACCTGGGGCTTATTTTGCTTAAAGAAAAGGGCCAGTGGATGACTCTGGGTTCCTAGAGAGCTATTTAATGGAATGTGGTGGCATTTCTACAGTAATATTAAGCACAAAAATGCATTTATAACTATCAGGGATAGAAGCGACTTCCTTATGGTGATCACTATTAGATTTTCCTTTCATGGAGCACTAAAAAAAGGAGAATGATTCTCCTTTCACATTTCTGGTGTGTTTTGCCTGTAGAACTTGATCATCATATATAAATAACAACATATTTCCCCCTCAGTTTCTTTGATCTTGACACTGCCTCTTGTTCCATAAAATTAGTTTAACAATGTTGGTAAAAAATAAATATTTACTTAGAGTTCCCTCATGCATTTTTTTTACCAGTATAGCTCAGAAGACACCACTTACTATATTCCAGTGATGTTACTTTCATCCTTTAACTGATCAATTCTGAGATCTTTTTATTCATCTTTCTTTTTTTCTTGAAAAAGTTAAAGGTGTTCTTCCTTTTAGCATGTATCAGATCATCTCACATACTCACTGGAGCACAAGAAAGCATTCTACCCTGTTACATTCAATTTCAGAAGAATTTTCAAAAAGTACTTGATTTTAGATTTTCTTACAATTTTTGTCTAAAATTAAATTGAAGCCTTAGGGAAACTAAAGAACGTCACAACTGACTGCTGACTGTTTTTGTTGTTGTTGTTGTTAGTTTGAATGGAATCTTTGAGAATCTGATACTTTTGTAAAAATATGACAACTTTTAAAAGTCCTTTCAAAATACAAATCTTGTTCTCATTTTTTTCACAAAAAGAAAACAATCTTCTTGAGGAGGACAGAGGAGACTTGAAGCAGGTGGGTTAGGATTTGAGATACAAATTAAGCAGTGTCTTCAAGACAAACAGTGTTTGGGAAAAAGTAAAAATAAAGGGAGGGGATGAATTAGTGAGATCAATTGCTACCAGGCTTTCAAATATTTCCCCAGTGAATGAGAGAATAAATGAATGTAGACATTGGTGAGTCACAGGGCAGAGGATGACCAGGGGACCAGAAGGACCCCTGGGGAAGTGGGGGAGGGGAAGGGAGAAAAGTGGGGGAGGGGAGAGAGAGAAAGAGGAGGAGGACCTGGGCTATCCATCCATTCACAAACCTGGCAGAGACTTCAGAGCTGGGATCAGGGAGAGGAGAACAGAGCCAACAGATGCACCCCGTTGGGGTTTTGTCCAATTGACTGTTCTTGAACTGTCTGATTTTCATTGCTTCACTGTAATGAGAACATTTTAATTACCTTATCTCTATTGGGGGAGGAGGGAAATCAGAGGCATCCACATCGTCATAAACTTCATCTCCCATGTCTAACAAAGACAGAATAGCAAATGGTGAAACACTGTTAGTGGACATTTTGATATGAGCATTCAATGATGTTTTTAATATAAAGATTGTTTTGAGGACAACAAAATAACTTTCCCTGAGGCCTCTGTACATTTCTCCGGATACATCACCTTTTCTTTAAAGAGGAAAGATTTTTCTCTTCCTTGATGCTTGTGTTAAAATTCCCTCAGCAACAACGGTGACAATGATTATAACTGCTGCTGTCAGGAAAAAACCCTCAAATAGTGACTGAGATTAGCTGAACGGCAGGATCAGTTAAAAGTTGACAAACAAGTCAATATTTTTTAACTGCCTCAAGGATTTTTCCAATCTGTAGACACTTTTCTTCCTTCTAGACTTCTTGTTATTAAAGTTAGGGGCAGTGCTTCCTTTCTGTACCTATTAAGTTGCAAATTAAGCTGAAGAGATGGCTTGAAAGGAGTACAAATGTTTTAAGGAATGATTAGCACAGAAAGTTTAAAATGCTCTCTAACAGTGGCAAGAATTTGATTTCTTTTTACTCCCTCTGTAAAATTGATTTCTTTTTACTCCCTCTGTATATATGTACACACATATACATGCTGTATTTATATGTGCATATTTTCCTTCCACTCAGATTAATTAATTTCACAGTATAAAAACTTGTTCAGCTACATGAACAATCTAGAATATATATATAAAAAAATAATGACATATCACTGACATTCAGAAGAGGAAAAATTACTGTTCCATGCACATGCTCTTAAGACAAAATTAAAGGCAAAAGAAATCAAAACGAGTAACACATTTTTTACTTAATTGATCACATTTGTTCCATTTTATATCTACTCCTTGTGGAGCTAAGTTTCTTGAGTACTTTTTAAAAATTATAGGTTAAGATATAAGTTCATCATCAGTTATTAATTATTTTGAGCTACATACAGCCTTACATATTTTCAAATTGTTAGATGAAAACAAAGTCAGATAAACAGTCTGGAAGAATAGATTATCTTTGTGTTTGGTTTGCATTTTCAATTTATTTATAGATTAAAATAAACTTTTTGAAAGCCTCTGAATATTCTTGCAAGACATTTTATTTTGCTCAAAGAAAATTTAAGAAAAATTCTTTAAGTCTCAGCAGGGGTAAAAAAATAAGATGATCAAAATTGTACAAAGAAAAAACTATTTTACATTTACCAGTGGAAAAATTTCCAAAGACAATATAAATGATACAATTTTAAAAATCAAAGAAATTTAGATTCAGAAGGATCTTGGTTGCACATAGTGTGGCATGTATTTAGAACTCTTTTTGCAGAAATCTAATAACATCAAACTCTGACTAAATTGGGGTGGGATCTATGAGGACTGCTGGGGCCCATCTCTACTCACTTGTCCCTTTCTCCATAGTGATCCTGTGACTGGAAGAACTGTTTAAAAGTCACTGATAGTTAAAAATTTCCTTTCCCCACTATTTTACTGTTGAGAAACTGTGACCATCCCAGGTGCAGTTACTTAACAAAGTTATACAGTTTATTATTTTCAGAGTCAGGACTTTAATTCGGACAGCATGACTAAAGCGATCGCTTCTGTTACCCTATCTGCAAGAAGCGAGATATAAAATATATTAATACAATTAGTTTTTATTACTTACCCACTTGTTTAGGAGGAGAAGGGAAACTGGAAAGAAAATGAGAACATAATTATAATCAGACCAATATAAAAACAGAAATTGGGTCTTTTATCTAGGAAAGGCATGAATAAACAACAGCCTTGAGGCTTATAAAGGCTAATCTTTTGAGTATTATTCCTTTCTCATCCTCCATTTCTCTGCTGAGTCCCAAGATTTTGTCAATCCATTTGGAATTTAGCAAGACTTTTTGTGAACTCTGGCATTGGCCAAACAAATCAAGAATCATGACATCCAGTGGCTTATTTTTCTCACTGTCATTGGACCAATGTTTCTGAATTTGTTCTATGAAGTTTGGGCATATTATCATACCAGAGTAAATGAAATGATCTAAATATTTCAGCCATTGCAGTGTAGCTTCAGATGAAAACTGTTTGACTCAAAGAATAGGAATGTAGGGTCAAAATCAACAAAAGTCACAGGAATCTTCATGTAACCATAGTATTGTATGGTCATATGAAGATCATAGTATGACATAGTACTGTTTGATAATATGTACACATATATCCCCAAACAGAAGAATGGTGAATAAGAGAGGAATATCCACTGAAACCAGAGAGTGAGAACTTATTAACAGAAGTGATTTGAAATCAGGATTGGGTGACTTTTAGTTGCAACAGAAAAAAACCTTTGTTTTTATTACTTTCTGAACTTTAAACACACATACACACATAACTGGAAGAATGGTGCACAGTTACACTAAAGTGTGAGAGGTCATTAGTAAAAGTGATTTAAAATCAGAATTAGCTGGTGTGTTATTGAGCAAAAAAAATATTTGCTTTTATTTCTAAGTGAGGACTACATATGAGTAATGACACATGAAGAGAAGATTTGCTATGTTTACTTACAATTTTAAGTATCTCGTTTATTGAGTGTTGTTTTAGTGTCTCACAAAAGGATTTAAAATTAGGAATTCTATGTGTTATTAACATCTTATAAAGACTTCTGTTAAAGTGTGGTGAGTCTATTAGTGTATATAAAACAATAAAAATTTGAGTGTACTTAAGGTCCTTCAAATTTATAAACATGGAACTTATGCTAAAGGATTATTTTTGTATAGAAAGATAAAATGTATGCTTTAGTCTTATTTATACAAACTGAAGATACTTAGAATAATTTTAGTATAGGACAAACATGTAATTCAAGTGGAATTACTATATCATTATTGCAAAAGTTACAAAGACTTTAGATATTGTACTTAGAGAAAAGAAATTCCAAATTTTGTCCTTTTTTTTCTATAAATTATCTTTTAAAAGAGAATGTATATTTTGAATAGTCAGTATAAAATATTATATAATAAAATGTAGTGTTGGAATTGTGACCTTTTAGATGTGATTTACAGCTTAAAAAAGGTCCTACTAAATGGAGGTTGATTATATGTATGCGTGTGGATTTGTGCATGTTTGAAAGGAAAACAAAATACATTTTTGACGCATATGATGATTTTATGTAAATGCACGAGTTTAAAAGTGACACAATAAATGAGACTAGAATGACTAATGGAAAAACACATGAAAATTTCTTAAGACTGTCAGAATTTGGTTATTGGTTATAAAATATTAGTAGCATTTGATTAAATTATTAGTGTAGTTATTGTGCACTGGATTTGGTGGTTGGTTGACTCTTACGATGAACCTTCATCATTGTCTGACTCAGAGTCTTTAGGTTTCTCCCGTATACTTTTCTTTCTGTCATCTTTTCCCTTTAAAATCTTCAAAATCCCCCAGGACCAGGTGTTACTCTTCTCTTCAACCTGTAGTGTGGAGCTTTGGAGCATGCAGGCATTGATCAGATTTTTTATAGTTATACTGTGTTGATAATTCAGGCTGTAAGCTATTTATTGTATTCAACAAGATGAAGCTATTAAGTTTATAAGTCATGGTCTTTGAATACTGCTGTGACTAGGTAAATAGTAGGCAAGTTATTTTCTCCTATTTGGTAGATTTCTTAAACCTTGTTTCTTAAACCAGTGAGCTGAGTCAAAAATTTTAAACATCAATTTAGCTTTGCTATGATTAAAAGTAAGTTGCTATTAGATTAAAATTTTAAAATATGTATTTAAATTTTAAAATGTACCACTTCAAAAGTTTAAACACCCAAAGGATTAAGTTTTCAATATCGCCACATACAGCCACAGATAAACATATGATCTCAATTTATTTGGATTGCTTACAACTATAATTATTATACAAGGGCTTCCCTGGTGGCTCAGATGGTAAAGAATCCACCTGCGATGCAGGAGACCTGGGTTCCATTCCTGGGTTGGGAAGATCCCCTGGAGGAGGGCATGGCGACCCACTCCAGTATTCTTGCCTGGAGGATCCCCATAGACAGAGAAGCCTGGTGGGCTGCAGTCCATGGGGTCGCAAAGAGCTGGACACAACTGAGCGACCAAGCACAGCACAGCACATGATTATTATACAAAGGCTAGCCATGCAACTATAAACTTTCCAGAGATAAAATGAAGTATTGATTGATAAATAAATGATTGGGAAAAGTTTGAATACTAGCAACCCTTATCCCTTTTCCGTTTCACTCCTTTTGACATAGTTGTCAAGGTTCCAAGTGGTATATTCCAAACAATATACCACATCATTTGAAGTGTGGTATAATTACAATTCCTCATTTGCCATTGCTGTTAATCAGACATTTTTGGTTATGTAACAGGGAACGTTACTTTCTGCTTTTTATTCTAACTAGGAATCAAAACCAGTGACAATTTCAGTATATATAATATTTTGCAAAGAGGCAATTAAGCTGATTATTCTTACCCATCAGCAGCATCCTCCTCTTCTATCCCATCATAAATATCATCATCTGGGGGAGGTGGGAACATCCCTTCATATGAATTAGGGGGAAAAAAAATCTGTTAATTTTGTAATTTGGTCACAAATGCTCACTCAAAATTTGATAATAAATGTCTTATGCGAAATAAGATGCAGAGAGCATCTTATTTTTATAGCAATTATTTAAATTAAAATAGCTTTATTTTCCCACTCTTACACAGAGGTAAATTAATTTTTAGGAAAAGTTTGAATACTAGCAACCCTTATCCCTTTTCCGTTTCACTCCTTTTGACATAGTTGTCAAGGTTCCAAGTGGTATATTCCAAACAATATACCACATCATTTGAAGTGTGGTATAATTACAATTCCTCATTTGCCATTGCTGTTAATCAAACATTTTTGGTTATGTAACAGGGAACGTTACTTTCTGCTTTTTATTCTAACTAGAAATCAAAACCAGTGACAATTTCAGTATATATAATATTTTGCAAAGAGGCAATTAAGCTGATTATGCTTACCCATCAGCAGCATCCTCCTCTTCTATCCCATCATAAATATCATCATCTGGGGGAGGTGGGAACATCCCTTCATATGAATTAGGGGGAAAAAATATGTTAATTTTGTAATTTGGTCACAAATGCTCACTCAAAATTTGATAATAAATGTCTTATGCGAAATAAGATGCAGAGAGCATCTTATTTTTATAGCAATTATTTAAATTAAAATAGCTTTATTTTCCCACTCTTACACAGAGGTAAATTAATTTTTAAACATTATTTTATAAGGAATTCTTAGAAGTGAACTGTAAAAATATGAGAGATGATATAGAGTACTGTGCACTGGAGGTGACAGAAGTGAGGGAAACAACTGAGAAAAAGTAAAATTAAACAGAGGATGGAGTTAAAATTTATTGTGGAAAAAGAAGGGAAAAGTTGATAAGAAAAACTTAATTAATACTAAGGAGACATTCAGAAAAAAGCATTGATCAAGATGTAACGAAAGGAAAGCTAATGAAAAGTGACTGTAAACATTGATGGGAGCTGGGACAAAGAACTTTTTCATTTCATCAAAGTAATATTTTAAAAGTTAAACCCTTGCTTGATTTGTTATCCTATGTTTGCTATTTGACAAATATTTATTTAACAAATGTTTCTTTGTTATTTAACAAAGACTACCTTCTTTGTAAAAATATGTGCAATAAAGTTGAAATTAGATTTTTAAGATGAGAATTTCAGCACTGCCAGGTATTAGCAACCCTTATTTTGTTGATGGGATAATGAGAAGTCTTTAGGAGTCATAGCTATGGTGACTATGTAAGGTATCATCCAAATAGGGACATTTCTGAAAGTGAAGGGGGATGCTACTAGAAATTGTGCTCAGACAACTGGCACAAATCAAGACTGCCCTGGGCACACTGGAAGTGGAGTCACCCTATGACCATAACGTGGAAGAAAGAAGTGACTTGCTCAGGGTCACTCAGTGGCCAGGACTGGACTCCATGTCATTGATTCCCAGTCCATTGTTCTTTCTACCACATTAAGATCCTCCTCATTATTTGCAAACAAGCGCATTTTGTTATTAATAAATACAAGAACGTTGAAGACTTGAGAAACTGATAAAAGTGTGTAGCTTACCTCCACTTCCACTCTGACTGTGGCTAGGAGAAAAAGAGTAGACATTAATTGATATATTAATTATTTAGCTATCAGGAAAGGAAGTACATAATGAGCAGTTAAATGAGAGAAAAAAATAACATTCCAGTCAACAGTTATCAGGATGTTATTTACAATTGTCAAGATATAAAAACAAACTAAATGTCCACCAACAGATGAGTAGATAAAGAAGACGTAGTGTATAAACACAATGGAATGTTATTCAGCCATAAAAGAATGAGATTTTGCTATTTGCAACAATACCAGTGGACCTGCGGGGTATTATATTTAGTGTAATAAGTCAGAGAGACAAATACTGTATGTTGTCACTTATATATGGAATCTAAAAAATAAAACAAATGAATGAATATTACAAAACAAAAAAAGACACAGATATGGAGAACAAACTACTGGTTACCAGTGTTGGGGTGGGGGTGGGAGTTTAAGGAGTACAAACTACTATGTGTAAAATAAATAAGCTATAAGGATATATTGTACAGTATAGAGAATATAGTCAATATTCTATAATAACTTTAAATGAAGTGTAACTTATAAAAACATAGAATCACTTGCATACCTGAAACTAATATAATATTATAAAGCAGCTACTTTTTAATTAGAAAAAAAGTTATTAGATGTTATATGTGAAAAGGAATAAAAATTGTTCCTTATTGTAATAGATAAGTAGTACCTAAGCAAAAAAAAAAAAAAAAAGCAAAACTAATAAGAATCAAGTGAGATTCAGTACTCCATAAAGTTTTCTAAACAATGATATTGTTTGTTTCTAGCATTTTACCATAAGGCAATTTTCAGATTATATAGTATTACATCACTACATAGATAGACTTATTAAAAAAAGAGAGTATTATTCTAGAACCGTTACTGCATTAAATTCAATTTCCTCTCAATATCTTATAATTACAGCATTTAACTCTTAGTCTGATAGCATTATATTTTTTACAAAGGGGTATTAAAAAAAATTGAAATCTATTCGTGGGGCCTTTGTAGAGTGTAGCTCCTAATTCTCTAAATCTATATTTCTGCATTTTAAATTTCTTTCTATAACATTCTATACCTCCCCTATTTTATAATTGTTTTCTTGCCCATTTCCCCAGTAGACTGTGAATTATGGAAAGCAAAGGAAGTCATTTAGTTCATTTTACAGAAAAAAATTGAGGCTCTGAGAAATGAAGTGATATGACCATGTCCACTTCTGATTAATTGAAAAAATGAAATAAGAATCTCAGTGTCCTGCTTTCCTGTATGGATGACATCATTTTGACGACACCTCACTGTGCCCGCCGTGTCATCATTTTTGCCTTTTAGATAATCTTCCAAGAACGGATATCTGATATTACAATCATATAGTATATTTATACATCATATGTGATCCTTAGCCTTAAAGTCAGAATAACTTTAAAGTCTACTGTTAATCTAGAAATAAAAAGTACTTTCACTTCGGAGAAAAGCATGCTATAAATGTCTTAATATACAAATAGAAGTGATTTTTGATGAAGCTTAAGTATATTCGCTACTTGCTTACAAACTATTTTCACACTCACTGTCTTCAACACTTTCCTCTGAGCATGAAGCAAGCATTTAGAATTATGAGAAAAACTGCCAATTTGGGTTGGCTGCCACTTCTGGCAAAAACAACATATTTCACCTTGGAGATTTCATACCCAATATCCAAAGAATTGGGTGATCACAATCAGGAACAAAGACACTATATATTATTTGGTTTCTAGAGCAGTTCTTCATTTTCTCTTTGAAATATAAACTATTGATCTATTGAGCTAGAGGGAAGGGAAGGAGAATGTGAGAAACGACCAGGAAAGAGAAAGAGGAAAGGATAAATGGCAGGAAAAAGGTTGGAAAACACACCTAGAAGAAAAGTTTTTTATATGACAAAGGAGTGGTATTTGCACTTGTAATTTCCTTTTGTTCAACTTTTCACTTTTATTACAAAAAAAAAAACTGCTTCACTGAGAAGAAAGGGAGAAGAACAGCTGCCAGGACCTGTGTTTTTTAAGCCTCCTGTCTGCTCTCAGAGTGTGGGGTATACTGCTGGTTCTCCTAACCTGGAGAAATTGGGAAAGAGCTGGTCAAGAACCTCCTGATGGGAGCCAGGAGGTATCTGGGGAAGGGAGAGGAGAGGATGGTGCTTTCTCTTATTCTTGCCAGGACAAGCTGCCAGCTATACTCAGCATCTTTCCTTGTTCTACTAAGGACAAAGCATGTTCTGTTATAAGATCTCTGCCAGCAGCAGCTGTAGTTTAAAAAAAAAAAAACACAAAACTTGTGTAGAAGTGATGTCTCTTCTTCCATTTTCTTATTAAATGTGCATAAAGAAGGAATAGATGCTACTAAATACTGTGGTCTGTACTTGTTTAAAATATTAATTAGTAAAGCTATACACTTCCTCTAACCCCATTTTGTTAAATAGAAGATTCGTTTTCTGCGTCATGTTTACTAACTGGAGACGTCTTGTAGAGCTGTGGTATGTATGGTGGTGGAAATTTAGTCACTAAGTTGTATCCGACTCTTTGCAACCCCTGGACTATATGTAACCTGCCAGGCTCTTCTGTTCATGGGACTCCCCAGGCAAGAATACTGGAGTGGGTTGCCATTTCCTTCTCCAGGGGATCTTTCCGACCCAGGGATCAAACCTGGGTCTCCTGCATTGGAAGGTGGATTCTTTACTGCTGAACCATCTGGGAAGCCCTGTGATATGTACAGACTAGTTAAAATGGAAATGGTAATAGCATTAGTTTTGGGAAACAGTCACTTATTATGAAGATAATGCTTCATTTTAAGGATATTATCCCTTTTTTGTGGATTTAAATATTTTCTCAGTATTTTCATCAGTGTAAATATATATATATATATATATATATATATATCTCACTGGAGTTCCTGAATTCCAAAATGGGAGAAATTGTGTTTTTTTTTTTAAATATAAAAGACAAACATAAGGTATAGTGACATTGTTCAGTCGTGTCCAACACTTTGCAACCCCATGGACTATAGTGTGCTGGGCTCCTCCATCCATGGGATTTTCCAGGCAAGGATACTGGAGTGGGTTGTCGTTTCCTTCTCCAGGGGATCTCAGGCAGACTCTGCCATCTGAGGCACCAGGGAAGCCCAACATAAGGTGTATACGCTGATAACATACATGGTAAGACATACTCATGTCTAGAAAATTCTGTAACTCTCAGAATATGGCCATTTGGAACTTTGACATCAAATTTGACATTTGCTAACTTCAAAGTAGGTCAAGGTGTTTCTTATTACTAAGGTCAATTTACAATCTGTAAACTCCAGTGCATACATGGCATGTTTTGATATGTATTGCATAATTTATGATCATAATATGCTAAGACAGCATTGCTATCAGTCATTTTAGAATGATGAACTGCCAGAAAGCAATATAAGTTTAACTGATGCCATAAGCTCAAGACCGTAAAAGGGAAATTTAATTCTTTATATGTTTCATAACTATTATTATGAATAAGGATTAATATATTTCTATTTTGATCATTTTACATTTTTAGAATGCTTAATAATAAAAACATTTTTTACTTTGAAATTTGACTTATAAAGAATGCAGACACATTTTTTTTCTCAAATGAAGATCTTGCATAGATCATGTGGGGAGGTTTCCCTGTTTCACAAAGTGGGCATAGAAAAATGAGGATTCTTCGCTGGGTTGGAGATTTTCCTTCTCCTTTTCCTTCCTTTAAAGGGATTATGACTACCAGGAAAGGGAGATATTGGAGGAAAGAAGGAATGAGAGGAGAACAGAAAAGGAAGAAAAAGAAAGAACAAGGAAGATCAGAGCTAGGAGAAAGAGACAGAAGAGGAGGCACTATAAAGGGAGCTGGAGACTGAGAAGCAAGAGAAGGAAAGTATGACAGAGAAGTCTGCCCTCCTCTTTGGTTCCTCTGGAAAGGATGTCTTGATCTGTCCCTCTGCCCCAGAAAGATGGTCCTGTAATTTTTCCGGGGAAGGTCACAAGGTCCAATGGAAAGTTGAATCCTTAGTTGATTGCTAGGGATCATGGCGGATTGAGCTTTTACATTCTTACTCTTAAAGAGCAAAGATGTCATAAAAAGCATTTCTATTTGTTATATTTTCAAATAACAATGACAAATATATTTATACTCAGATTTCAGAGAAAAATATTTTATATTTTTAGAGCTAACTTTTATATCTCATGCTTCATATTTTACAAAGTCACATGTATTCTAGGCATATCCTTAAAGTCAAATCAAAATGAATATTACAAACCAGTATATTGTATTGACAACACATCTGCCAATGGCCCATTACATTTCAAGTAGCATTTAACACAAATAGCCAAAGAGTAAAATGAAAGACTATAGAGTTTCAAATGAGTTATCATCCATATTGAAGTGATTTAACTTAGTGGTAAATTAATTTAACTTACTGGTAATTTAACTTAGTGATAGAAAGTAGTAGGAAATTAGGAAAGTAAAATTCTAGTATCTTAAAACCCACAATCTCTGACAAAGAGATAGTTTGATTTGCTTTCCAATTTGTTTTTACATATACCTGCTAACATTTTCCTGCTCTGCAACGTCATCATACACTTCCTGGTCTTCTTCAAAAGGTCTTGATGAAAGAGCACCGAGACAGCCTTTTTTCCGTTTCAAGGAGTCATAGTCAATCTCTACAGCTGTTGTTTTAATATAGCCATCTACCAAAAGGGGAACAATTTATGTTCAGATAACTGTAGTTTAAATATCATGGAGTTGTGAATAAAATATCAATTGTACACTCTCTTTTTAAATTTTCCCTTTATTTCTTTGCTTGCAATTCTGACTTAAAGACTTGTTGACACAGCATCACTGTGCTTTGTCAAAGTCTCATGATGTTGTGCTCTGGGGTAAGTAGAGTCTGTTTTCAAGATTCTAAAGTGATTCAGAAGAAACATTTTTGCTTTTTAACATCAATGAAGAACCTAATACTCTTTGCTCCTCCTTGGGATATTATATTTACATTTTTTCCCAACTAAAAATATTACACAAATGAGGTGAAGATGGAGCTATGTTTGTCATTTAAAATCTTCCTATTTTTGTCTACTCTGTAACATAATGGTACTTATGCTATGTAGCATAATGCAACTTAATGCTATGACTAGCTTTGGAAGAATTTTCACATTAAGATTGGCTCAAAAGAAAACACTTTGAAGTCGTAGAAAAATATGCACTCACATGACCCCCTGGCTGTTCTGCCCAGCCATTTTCCTTCAGGGTTGTCTGTGATGCGAATTATTTCAATATTCTCTCCTTGCTTGAAGCTCAGTTCATTCTTTCCTCCTTTGACATCACAGCAAGCTTTTGCTTGATGGATGACTTGAATAGGGCCTGTTAGCTGCAAAGAGGGGAAAAAAAAATCACAACCAGCTCCTTACTATTCAGGAAACCCTTATGGAATGCAGTTTTGAAAGACTAGGTCCACTACTTGCTAACCTGCTTATTACCAACATTTACAGGTTTGAACTAGAAGTTGAGGGTGAATGTTGTTTCTGGTGAGGGTTCTTATAGGAGGGACTAGGGGATAATTGCAGAGGTCAGACAGAACCAGCAAAGAATAGGTGAGCACATGTTCAGGGGCCAGGAGAGAACAGCAGTGATCTGTTGACCTCGGGAACTCTGCAAGATTTGAAGAGGAAGTGACTGAAAATCAAACACCACTTATGTATGCGACATGCTGGGTGCTATGTGTTTTTATGGGGTATGCTGGTGTTCTGCTTACTAGACAGAGGTTATTTCCCTCTCTGCTTCGTGCAATTATTCTGATGGGTCTCTGCAGGCTTAAAATAGCAAGAGAGAGAAGGATTAGTAGTGGTGGTAGGTCGTACTTGTGAGAAAAACATTTTCTTTCCTTTTTTCGACTTCATGGTACTTGCTATCTATAAACTTGGAGTAGACATTACCTGCTATAAACAAGATAACAGTTTAGAAATAGCTTTGTGAATAAAAAGAATAGCAAACCAATATTATGTGATGTTTTTATAATTAATATCCTGAATAGTACAGTGGTTTCTTGACAGCAGAGTAGTAGTTTAGAGTCCATGAATCCTAAAGTCCTAATTTCCTAATCTTTTGTCTTTCAACAGAATTTCTTGAATCTTTTGATATGCAAATATGCACCATGATTTTTGAAGAAGCTCTACTTTATTTATTGAACTTATTTTCCACTTGAAAACTATGAACATTGGTAGCCATACATTCTGTATGAGTAAAATATTTTAATATTCATATTGCAATCTTACTTTTGCTCATATATAGTAAGCAAAACTGAATGAGAACCTATAATAGACACCATGTATTATTTTATTTAATCCCATAACAAACTTTCAGGAGAAATATCGTCTACTCATTTTAAAAATAAGAATCTTAGGTTCAGATAAGTTTAGCAATATGCCCATGATTGTATAACTCACAAATGTAGCTGGAATTTGAATCCACATCTGTCCAACTGAGTCTAAGTTTTACATTTTCCCTGCACCCCGCTGTTGCATCTTTGTTTCACTATAATCAATACACTGGGAAATTATATATAAGCCAGATTTTTATAATTCAAACCATATATTAAATGTTCTGGAGGAACTAAATATTTAAAGGAAACTTGATATGAATCCTTTTCAAAGTGAAGAATAGTTTTGTGACTAGATAATCACTCTAAATATAGCTGACATGCCAGACCCATACCAGATGGGCCTATCCAAGCCTATCCAAGAGAGTATAGCCAGCAAGTATAGTGGTAGTAATAGGAGCCGTTCAGTTAGAATGAAAGATCAGAGAAGACAGAGGTCAATGAGGAAGGAGAAACAGAGGGTATGAGAAGTCAGCATGTACATAGGCTTAAAGTAAAGGCATAGATGCGCATCAGGTCTAGACAGCATCAGTCAGGGTGGCTCATGGAGTTTTATTGAGACAGGTCTGCTTCATCCAGAGACACTTCTGCCCCATGCACCATGATAACACAGGCCACAGGGATATGTATGTGTATAGTCCTGAGCCCATATTATGAGTAGGTTAATATGAAATGCTCAGTCGTGTCTGACTCTTCGTGACCCCTAGGACTGTAGCCCATCAGGCTCCTCCGTCCATGGAATTTTCCAGGTACGATGAAACGCATAACGAGGAGAGTCAGGATGGATTTGAGTAACTGAGTATTCATTCACTCAACTGACATAAAATTTCCTGAGCTTCCACCATATTTTGTTTAGATTTTATCCAAATTATAAGCCACATATTTTATTTGGATTTTATTGTATTGCATTTTCAGTGCAGGGATAATGTTTTTGTTTAGTAGACAAAAACATTACTGTTATGAAGGAAGTTACTCTATAGAAAACAGTGATTAAGTAGTTGTCCAACCATGTAAGGTTTCAAAAAATGGTGCCCCTTTTGTATGAAAGTTATAAAAAGAGAGGTTACTCTTTTTCACACATCAGCAAGCAAGATCTTACTTTAAATTTCTTCTTTATTTCTTGTTCTTTCTTTTCTCTCTCTTTCTGTTCTTTTTTCTCCAGCTCTAATCTCTTCTTTTCCTCCTTTTCCCTTTTCTTCTCTTTTTCTTTGGATGTGTCTCTGTGGATAAAAATTTGGTTGTTTCAGCACCTGCAGGCATTTATGTGTTAGGGCGCACTATTTAGAGAGGTTCCTACCCCAAACAGAAGATAGTATGTGGAATAGAGGTGAAGGTACAAAGCTAAGTCTTGTCAAAATTCCTGAGTGTGTGAGACTGTTCTTAAAACCTGCAGGAGGCATTCAAATGAGGATGCCTTCCAAAGGGCCCCCGCTACCTTTACAACCCTTGAGGGCAAGTGGAAGTCATTGTTATAAAGGTTCTTGCGGCCTGTCAGCATGAATACAATTAAACCCACCCCCCCACTCTAGCTCACAAGAGTACACTCACTGGTACAAATTCACATACACATATTCACTTGTACTCATAGGCACAAATCTTCGTTTAGAAACTTTACTCAGAATTAGCTGAATTCTGGGTAGGGAAGATGAACATATTTGAATCAACAAAAGATAAAATAAGAGAACATGCTCATTTTTATTTTCACTCACTTGCTAAGAAATTTCTTAATCCTGGGCCACCCAGAAACCCACTTGGAAACTCTTTTTAACGTCTTTCTTCTTAAGCAGGTTAAAACTTGGGGATTCAGTGCTGTGTTAAATCATCTCTCAGAGCAGAATTTTCAGGTAAAGTACTGCCTAGGTGAGGACATTGTAATATACACACAAACTCACTTGCCCAAAGAAACAGGGAGAGCAAGAAATCCAGATCCCTGGCCCTCTAATTCCCTGCCTGTGGGCTGTCTAGTGGGTTGCAGGACTCTGACCTCTCACATAATGGCATTTTAACAGAGTCCTCTGTAAAATCCTTTGACAAGAAAGGAATCTTTAGTCCTTTGTATTGAAATAAAGGTTATCATTATATGCCCGTCATTTGAACAGTTGAACCTTCCCCCTCCTAGTATTGAATATCCATTCATTCTCCTCATACAAATTATTATATTCATCTTAGAAGAAAAATATCATGGTAAGAAAAAATGTAACTCATACATGTCTTCATATGTTTCTCCTTCACTCTCTTGTTCCTGTCAAGAAAAACGTTAATAATGATTAATTGCAATTATTCAATAAGGGAACAAATATATACTACACTGCTCAAATACTCAGTAAAACAAACATAAATTTGTGTGTATGTTTGGTGTGTTTAATTTTTTTTTTTTTTTCCTTTTTGGAGACAGACTGGGAAAGGAAGCAGAGAAAGATTTCATTTTATATCTTGCTATGTAATTCAGAGTTATAGCCAGACTTCAGTTTCTGTTTAGCATAACAAAATTACCGAGTCAGTGAAATGACTGGTGTTTAATGTCTCAAGCATTTCAGGTGAAATAAGACTGCAAACGGAAACATATTACCATTATTCTTAAGAGTTTTCATTTTTTGGTTCATGTCAGTAGAAAATAAATCACAGCAATTGTTACATATTGTAGTTACAGCAATATAATATGAGAAGAATAAAAAAGAGAAACTAACCTCATCTAGATTTCCAGTACCTGAAGTGTTTAAAAAAAGGGATAGTAATTAAGAAATGCTTTAATAGAGGATTGTTAGATGTAACATAATACTCAAAACAGTTCATAATGTTAACAGAATCTATACTTTACCAAAGGTTTAGAAGTACACAATAGAATATGTGGTTTAGATCCTTACTATGGCTTTTCTAAACTTTGTAACTTATTTTAAAATCATTTCATTAGCTTTCATAAAATAATGCAAAAGTGAAAAAAACTGAAGACACCCTTTAGTCTCTTTACAAATGGACACTGAAAGCACCCACATTTGGTTTTGCGGGCTTGTGTGGAACACAGGCTTTACCAGAAAAATCACAAGTTCACACTTTTTGACTCATTTGTTCCTAAGGATCTGCTTTCATGTATCAAACGAATCAAGTTAATTAGCTTTTTTTNAATGCATGAAAATGAAAAGTGAAAGTGAAGTCGCTCAGTCGTGTCCGACTCTTAGCAACCCCATGGACTACAGTCTACTAGGCTCTTCTGTCCATGGGATTTTCCAGGCAAGAGTACTGGAGTGGGGTGCCATCGCCTTCTCCACCCTGCAACTGACATGGTATTAATATCTGGAATACAAAGGAACTCCTGCAAGTCATCCAGAAAAAGATACCAACCCCCAGAAAAAATGGTCAAGGAATTGGAGTTGGCAACTTACAGAAGAGAAAACCACAAAGGCTAATAAACAAATCAAGGTTTTGAACTCAATAGTAAGCTGAGATATGAAATTGGAACAAGACATCTTATACACAGAAGATTGGAAACAACTGGAAATCTGCCTCTGCACTGGTGAAAGGCAAGCATCTTGGAATCCTCATGCCCTGGGATGGGACTACACACAGATGTAGCTCTTCTAGAAAGTACTCCAGTACTATTCAGTCAAAATGAATATGCCATAGCTTACAAGCAGTCACTCTACTTCTTGATACACATCTTAAAGGAAGGCTCTCAGGGGTTCACATGGGGATATGGACAAGAAAGTGCACTGAACTATTAATATCATTTTCGGTAATAGTGAGTTGGAGGTGAAATATGCATAGGATGCATACCATGAAGAGCTGTGCAGTAGTGAACAGAAATAAATTAAATATACATATCGTCACGGATGGGTCTCACAAAACACATTAGTCTGAGTGTAAAAAAAAGACCAGAATGAACTATAATATACTGTTTATGTAAATTGAAATATATACATATACACACACAACAATATACAAAGAATGTGTACAAAATACATATACACACTAAGTGCATTAAAATATTTTACTCTGGTAAGAGAAGGAAGGAAAGAGAGTGGGTCGTGAAGAGAAAAGGGAATAAACAAGTAAAACGAGAGGACTTGCATGGACTAATGATGATAATGACTCATTAATGACCCTATGAGAATAATTAACTCTAACTGTCATATCTGAGGGAACAAAAAATAAAACAGCATTTGCCTCTTACCATCAGAGTGCATGACACTATCTTGATTTTCTTCATTTACAGGGCCTCTGAAAACAAGAGAGAGGAAAAAGTGAAAATGGGATAAGTAGATGCTCCTCTTATAATGAAAAAGAAAAAAAAATAAAAGGATTATTTAAAAATAACTCTTGGACTTCCCTGGTGGTCCAGTGGATGGGAATCTGGCAGGGGACACATGTTTGGTCTGGGAAGATCCCACATGTTGCGGGCAACTAAGCCTGTAGACCACAACTACTGAAGCCATGCTCCACAACAAGAAAAACCACCACCACAAGAAGCCCATGCACTGCACTAGAGAGTAGCCTCCACTTGTCACAAGTAGAGAAAGGCTGCGAGCAGCAACAAAGACCCAGTGCAGGCAATAGTAATAATAAAAATAATAAAATTTTAAAAATAAGATAAAAATAACTCTTTTCTCTTTCATATTTACTCTGCTTTGAAACTTCAGAAGTCAGTAGAATAGGTTTCAGATTTGTACTGATGCTGCTACTGCGGCAAAAAAGTGGAGAATTGGGGAACTTGTGTCCAGCACTGTCCATTCAAAGTGAGCACCTACAATTAATCCATAGTTTCAGGGCAGTAATATGTTTTTCTGTTAAAAATCACAGCATATCAATAAGTCAATTCTGGGTTCTGATGGCAGATAATTGGCCGTACGGTATAGATTTCAAAGGCCATTAGTTTCAGTCCTGGCTCCTCCCCCCTTTCTAGGTATTCTCCACCTGGCTTTGCTTCCATCAGCTGTGGCTTGGACTCCAAGGTGCTTCATTTCAAACCACTTCACTCCAACTGCTCATCAGTTCAGTTCAGTTCAGTTCAGTCGCTCAGTCGTGTCCGACTCTTTGCAGTTATCACATGAATCTTTAATGATTTATGGACCCATCTATATTTTCTATTTCTATTTTTGGTTGATCAGAATAGCTGGGGAAAATTGTCATCTTACTGATTTGGGAGATTACAAATAATTGACATTCAGTCTCAGCTGCACTCCCAACACTATCCTATAATCTCATTACATCTTTTTCCTAGTCAATTTTCTTTTACATCATTCTTCTCGATTAACTATTCAAGACCTTCACTTCTTCCCTTAAATCTCCTATTTGTCTCCTTCCCTTTATCATTAGATGATTTTGTTTCTTATTTCACTATTTAGCTGTTATTGGGAGTGAACTCTCTTAAGAAAATACATTCCTTTAACTTCCAAGTTTATCTACAATTACACCCATCCTTACATCTCCTGACCAAAGTTCTTCTTTCCATCTGTGTTTTGAATGCTATCTGAATGATCAGTTATTTCACTCCTTTTATTTGTTTTCTTCTGTGTGTCATCATATTATTTATTATTATTATTATTATTATTATTATTCTTTCCCTCCCCATCCCTAAATATCTCACTATAGTAAGTCCTCAACAAACAAATCTTCAAGTTGCAAGCTTTCAAAGATGCAAATGTGTGTATGTGTTTGCATATCCAACTACGTCAGGAGTATATGAAGTTGCAGCTTGCCCTCCATCTCCTATTGCTGATGATCCTTCAGCTCTGCTATCTCCCACCTCTTCTCCCTCCTCCAATTAGTATCTCTTCTCGCCTGTTCACTCAATACCAGCCCCTGCATGCCAGCTATTGTCATGTTCTAGTGTATTTTGAAGATATTGTACCGTAAGAGTAGAAATATTTTCTTTACTTTTTGTGTTTGTTTTTTTATGTATTATTTATGTGAAAAGTATTATAAACCTATTATAGTAAGTACTATATAGCCCATTGTGTTAGTTGGATACCAAGGCTTGTAGTTACAGCTTAAGCAGTGCTTACAACCTAGGTTAGAACAAATGAACTTATGAGCTTCCTTGGAATGCATCTTCATCATATGTAAGGGACTTATTGTACAGTTTCCTTGCTCAGCCCAAGTTACTCTTATTCATAAAGGACACATGTTTCTCTTCACTTTTCTAAATTCCACACATCGCCACAAGGACATCTTCCTCTTCCCAGTCCAAGTAGGAAAAACTGTCCACGCTCACTTTACTTGCTCACCTCCCCTTGTTTCTTCATTGACTGCAAGCTAACTTCTTTGCTAGTCCTTCACTGAAGCTACTCTTAAAAGGCTTAATTACTGAATCCACTAAACACTTCTCAGCCTGCAGCTTCCTTGATTGCTTTGTGGCCCTTAACAGCATATTGGCTATTTTGCCTTCCTGGAGCCTCTTTTGGTTCCACGAGAAAGCTCTTCTGGCTCATGTCTTGTCTCTCTGGTCTTGATCCCACAATTTTCTTTGTGGGTTAGTTTCCTGACTTCTCTTTTAAGTGATGGTGTTCTTTTGTGTTCTTGTCTTGGCTTCCTCATTTTTTTCTTTCTACCTTTGCCCCTAGATGGTCTTATATTCTCATATGCTTCCTTACCTTCACAAAGTATCTTAATGTTGGTGACTTCACATTGAAATCTCTAGCCCATAGAGAATCTCATATTCTTTGTTTCAGACACATCTATCTATCTATCATCTGCCTATCTATATATTCATTCTTCTATCTGTGTTTATATGTCCCACTGATGGTTCTACATTAACATCCCTGAAGCTGAGGTTTTCCTTTCTCATTTCAGCCTAAATCTATTTTTCCTACTCAATTTCTTAACTTGGTGACTTGCACCAAAAATTCACTTCACCACCCAAGCCTCACTCAAAAAGTGAGAGCCTTTATTTCTCATTCTTTTACAATGCTATGTCAATTTAATCAAGTTCTGTCAGTTCTACATATTTAATATCTCCTATAATACACTTCCCCTTCCATCTCTCTCCCTTGTCCTGCTAGACACAAGAGCAGGAACTTGCACCAAAAATTCACTTCACCACCCAAGCCTCACTCAAAAAGTGAGAGCCTTTATTTCTCATTCTTTTACAATGCTATGTCAAATTAATCAAGTTCTGTCAGTTCTACATATTTAATATCTCCTATAATACACTTCCCCTTCCATCTCTCTCCCTTGTCCTGCTAGACACAAGAGCAGGATTCTACCATCACTAGTGTGGACCCCTGTAGTGGCCTCTGGATAGTCTTCTAGTAACGAGCGACTGAACTGAAGTGAACTGAACTGAACGAGAATTGTGCTTCATCTTTTCTACCCTTAAAGTCCCTCCTTTATGCAGCTGCCAAAGTGATCTTTCTAACGTGAAATAATACCATTTGAAGAATGTGAACAGGAAAAGCCTTGCTATCACTAAGGCCATAAAAAAGGCTTAGTGGGTGTCCTTGTGACTCTGGAAGAAATACCTTAGATACATATATGTAGTCATAAACTCTTATCTAATAAAGACACTCAAAAAATTGAACATTTAAAAATTAACATATATGCATAGCTTACTATCTAGGTAAGTGTGAACGGCCAGTGAGATTGATAATGACACTCGTTTTTCTTAGTTGACGTTTTTAGATCTTAGAAGATTCAGAATTATACAGAAAGGATGAAGTAATTCAAACCCATGATACAAAAATCTGTGAAATAAGTTTTCTAATCATTGGGACAATAATGTATGTTCAATATTTTAAGTGTTTGTTATGTTTAAGAAATTTGTTACATTAGATATTCATGAGTTAGGCTTACTATTTCGGTTGAAAAGTGAGGACTCTTAAGTGTTGAATGTCTATGATTGCTGGCCTCGCAAAACAGAGTCAGCTAAAGCCATGAGCTCCTGATAAAAAAATCCACCATCACCTAGGAAGGAGTCTTATGTCTTACCTAAACAAAGAAAGAAACACATTTAGAAAATAGAACAAAATTTGATCAAACGCTTGCCTATATCCAACAGCCAGTTTACAGAGGAATGGGGAGCGCATAAGCTTACTATAAGGAAGCCATCAGCACAGTGGGCAACTATAATGCCCACCAACAACTTGATGTATTCAACAAATAAACTGCAATAAGTAAAAAGAAAGTAATACAAGGGGAACCTATAGCTTGAAAGAGAATTGCAAAACATATAAGCCATAGACTTTGCTTGGATTCTTACTCAAACAAACAAAAAAACCCACACAGGATTTAAGAGACAGCTGAATAATGGCTTGATGTTTTATATTAATACAAAGGGTCTATTTTTAGGAATACCTACTGAAATATTTACCAGTGTAATTATATGATGTTTGATATTAGTTTCAAAATAATATGAGACGAGGGAAGTGGGTAGTATATAGATAAAACAAGATTGGTAGTGAGCTTATAATTGTTGAAGTTGGGGAGGGGTATATCGGTACTCATTATATTATTCTCCTTGCTTTTTATATGCCTAACATTTTTTAAAATAAATATGTTTCTTTAAAAGTATCTGAAAAATCCAGATTGTAAATGGATTTACAATTGTAAATGCAATTGGATTATCTAAAGGAACTGGATATGATTTAATGGATTTATGAGTTGTTTACAAATTCTTGGGAGGGTTTTGCTGAGTAAAGTTATGAAATTTGTTCAGTCAGGCATCAGAAATGCTTAAAAATAAAATTCAGTATGTAAATTCATACATGCAATGTCAAACATGTAAAGGAGTTTAATTACTCAAGTTTATTATGAGCACAAGTATTGATATGAAAGAATTTAGTCTGAGTTGTCCAATCATTTATCAAAGATCCCCCTGAAAATAATCATTTTTATTGAAATAAAAATTACTGGGTATATAAATAGCATAGCAAGTTATGTGAATTTAAGTACTTAAAATAAATTAGGCCTTGGCACTATTAACTTTTGTGAATTGAGTATTAATTTACAGCATAAGATGTGAAACACCTCAGACATCAAAATACATTGACATTCTATAGAATAAAGTCTATTGTCCTTTTCATAGTGTACAGGTCCGTAAGATCAGTCCTGCTCTTTTACAGTTTTATTTTTCATATTTCTTCTTCTTACAGCATCTTCTTTTCAGATATTAACACTGAATTCACTTATTCTCTGAACACTGGTTTCATGTTCCTCCATGCTTAGCCCACGCTATTGGCTTTCTCTGGAGTAATCCTCCCTTCTAATCATCCCCTGCGGAGGCC